GAATATAAAACGGCGACGCCTGGCTCCCGCCCGCCTGCCCCACTTCCGCCCGGATCCGCAGCCCCTACCAACGGGGAAGGGAGGGGGGTGGTGGAGGAAAGCCGCGGAAGCGCACTACCTGTCCGGCGGGCCTAACCATTCGGACGTTGGGGGGGGTGCTAAGTGGGTAGTGCAACTCACCGGGACAGCGCCCCCTGGTGGTTAGAGTAGCACAGGCCTCCCCGCTCCCAGGCATCGCCCACGTGGCTGTAAAGCCTGGACCCTCTCATACACCAGACTAGGATATTATTATCTGAATCAAAAATCGCAAAGGAGAGACTGTTATCTTGGCATAAAACTTAGTGCGGGGCTTTCCAGAATAATACAGTTTTTTCATGTGTGCAATACCTATGAAGCACAAGAGAGTGATAGCTACTATTTACTTAAAGCTATGTGCCAAGTAGTAAGTTAACCATTTACCACAATTTGCTCTATGCCAGGAACTATGCAATACTCTACACATATTTTCTCACTCAATCCTCATAATGCCATGTTAGAGATTCCACTAGTCTCACCACTTTAAAAATAGGAAATGTGGATGTTGACAGTTGAAGTGACTTGCCCAAGGACTCATAATGTAAGTGACAAAAAAAATTAAAACCAGGTTAGTCTGCTAAGCCCTATGTTTAATCAGGATTCCTTGACATTAACCAAGCCTGAGTGAAAAGGTGTTCTCCAAAAGTATGTTCTTTGCTCTACCATCTTGATTCCTCCCTCAGTAATTTCATCCATTCTCCATCTACATCTGTCCCTTGTGTGAAAAGCAGGTGGCACCTACTAGGCCCTCAAAGTATGGACTTAATCAACTTGACCACAACTGGCAAAAGATTTCAAATGTGTGTTCCTGGAGGGCAGAGTCAGTGACTCACTCACTTACTAGAGAGCCCTCAGTGCTCAGTCAAAGGTCTGGTATATTACAGGGACTCTGCCAAGCTTGCTGGCTCCTAAATCTGACCTTCATCTCTCAGCTTCCACTTTCTAACTGCCTGATGGAGAGTTGCACAGAGCTATCCAGACTAAACTTCAAACTCAGTTTGTCCAAAACAATTCAAAAGCTATTTACTTTCTAAGCTAGAGTGCTGAGAAGCAGACATGATCAAAGCATGAAAGGAGTGACCCATCTATTACTCTTCTTTCTTGCACCACTGTCTACTTCTACTATAGCACTTACCTCATTTCTTACTGGATAGTAAACTTCTCCAGGGAAGGGTCCATGTTTGTGTCTACTACAGTATCTAGCATCACTCTTCACATAGACAATGAAGATAATGAGCAAATGCTTATGTCAGGCACTGTGCTAAGCACCTGACATTTGTTACCTCAGCGTATCTTTATCAACAAGTATCCTCATTCCAAACACCAAGGTTCAAAAACCTGAAGTCATCTTCTACTCCCTCTCTTAAGATAGTAATCTGCCCAGGTTTGTTTAACTCTTAACCAGAATGCTCTATTAACTCCCTATATGTAAGTAAGATGATCCACGTAGAATACGTATACAAAGGGCCTAATGTAAGGCAAGTGCTGAATGAATATAAACTATGATTTTTATTACATACATCATCAACCCATCTTCTTTCTCTGTATACACAGTCAGCTAGCAAGAATTAAGAATATTCCTACAAAGGCAAAAAAGTACAAAAAAAAACCCAACTTGGTTTATTGGATAAAAACAGTGGTAAAATGGACATAAAACCAAAAGTCAGGACAGGACATTTTCACATCCTCCCCCATCTCAAAACCGCATCATCATCTGGGTTAAGGTGTTAGGGAGCCAGAGCCCCCTAAAATCCCTTACACTTCACCTGCACTGGATGCAAGGCCTACATTAGGAGGACCCAGGAGAGAAGGGACTTGGAGGCAACCTCAGTTCTACCTCCTCATCCCTAATATCTCTAGGTCAGAAGAAAGCAGGAAAGGAATAAGGGAGCCAGAAGGGCTGGGACTGGCCTCTAGGGCCCACTACCCAGGATATCCTAGAGATGGCTATCCTTGTCCCCATCCAATCCCTAATAGGTACCATTGTCAGGCCTTAGGAGGGAGAAGAAAGGGGATAGTTGGTTCAAGAACCAGATGTGGTCTCCAAACCCTCCCCCAGCACTGGTAAAAACCCTGGAAGTCACCAGACCAGGAGTGGGGAAATCACACCTTTTCCCTCCCACCCAACCAAGAGGTAAAAAGGAATTCCTGGGGACACAGCAAGCCCAGCCACTCTTAAATCTCCACGTCGCTTTCCTTGTCATTGTCATGGTCTCCATCATAAAACTCATTGGGTGCCTCTGGCCTGCAAAGCAAAGAAAGACAGAGAGGTCAGGGTCCCACTCGGCAAGTTCCAATCTTCTCCCACGTAGGCACCCTCTCTGGAGCCACTTCTCAGGCCCATGTTGTCAGGGAACCACTCCTCTCCTTCTGCTGGCAGAGGATGACTGCTCTTCATTCATCCATTCATGTAGTCAATAAACATGTATTGAGAGACTACTCTGTGCCAGACACTGTCATAAGCCTTAGTGATACAGTAGAGAATAAACCAGACAAAATTTCTGCCTATCCTAAAAACTTACCTAATAAATGAGACTGACAATAACAAGGTAAAAACATTAATGTGGTCATTTCAAATGGTGGAAAGCACTATGAATAAAATGAAATAAAGGGATGTGACTGAGAGTGATGGGAGGAAAAGGGTAAAATTTCGGACAGGATTATTAGGAAATGCTGTTCTAAGAAGGTAAGACCTAAAGTCTGAGAAGGAGCTAGGCAGGTAAAGATGTCAGAGACCATTCAAAGTTGCAAGAAAAGCCAGTTCAGAAGTTATAAGGTGGAAGGAGACTGATGTATCCCAGTAAGAGAAGGAGGCCAAGATGGCTAGAAGTGTGCACAGAGGAGAGTTGTTAGAGATGAGACCAGGGATGCAGGGAAGGGCCAGCATGCAGGGCTTTTTAAAGCCATGGTGAGAAATTCAGATTTTCTTCTAAGTGCAATGGAAAGGAGCATTTTAAGCAGAGGCATGACATATTATAAACCTGTAGTGAGCAAAGGGTTGTGAAAGCAACACAGGGCCCAATAAGTACTCAATACTGGTTTCTTCTGGGAGAATATGAGTAACAGATAACTGAATTATCCTGCCTACTGCTGACAACTGAGAAAGAAGGGAGAAAGTCATCAAAGAGAAGCTGGGGAACAAAGTTAGGAAAGGCCCCCTCTGCCTAGTAAGCAATGACTCAGTTACCTCTAAGTGCACAAGGGTTAAAGGTTTGGAGTCAGAGACTTGGGTTTGAATTTCAGCCCTGGTGGGTATTTAACTAGCTGTGGGGCCTTAAGAAAAATATTTAACCTCTCTGAGCCTTAGATTCCTCTTCTGGTAATTTAAGGATAATAGCATATCTTAGGGCTGTCTGATGGCAACAGAATGATGACATGCTGACATGCATGTTTTAATATAAAGTACTCAGTTTTAGCCTGCTATTTAGCAAACCCACAGAAAGTAGTAACTCTTATTATTACTACTCTGCAAATGATACGCAAGCTGGAGCTACAGGCATCAAAGAAAAGAAACTCAGTGAGTGGTCTGACAATAGGTAGGGTTTAGGACAGGAAGAGGCCTGAGGCTTCTGCAGGCTGTTGAGAGGGGGCCGTATAATGCAGAGTCTAGGCCCAGATACCAGCCTGGAAGTACAGATGAAAAAACAAAGCTTTGCCAAAAGGAAGAACCTAAAAACAGGTTTTCAAGAGAAATCAATTTCCAGAAGCCAAGAGATCTGGAAAAGTTGAGAAGGAGATGAGGGTTCAAAAAGGATCCATGAGGCCAGAAGTTTAGATACTTCCTCAACCAGGAGAGGAAATAAGGAGGTATTCATGGAGGAGGAGAGTTGGAGTGGTCTCAAGGGTCTAAGTAGTAAAGTCCAGATCCAGAGGAGAGTGAAAGCCTGAACTCTAAGAGAACAGATTCTGAAAGGGACTGAGAAGCCCTTCAGACTCTGCAACAGGGCCAGCTCAAGCCTCTAACAGCACGTGGGAACAGGACCAGGCGTCCTGCAAGCATCCAGCTGTGGTTATTATTCCCAAGTCACATAATGAAATGTGTCCTCTGTTAAATGCACCTATCTCTGCCCTTCTGGGTTCTGTTGCCTTTTCCCTTCACTTTTTCAGATAAGTCTGTTTTGGTATTTTTTAAAAATTCTATGCTAGTCTTTTTCCCCCTAATTCACTGCATCTGTAAATACTTAAATATGTATCTCAGAAAGATAAAGATTTTTTAAGAAATAACCACAATACAATCATCACACCTAAAAAAATTAATAGAAAAAAGAAATCAAAGGGTGTTTAAAGAGCAGTATGTGGGCAGTGACCTGTCCAGCTTAGAACCTGGAAGGAGAGAGTAAAGTGCCAGCAAGAATATAAACTGTTACAGATTTTGGGGAAAGCAATTTGGCAACAAATATAAAAAATTTTAGTGCAGACAGCCTTTGACCTAGCAGAAAGAATTCCAGGAACCTAACCCACTCAAACAAGCATGCAAAGATGTATATGGAAGGGAGTTCACTGCAATACTCTCTGTAATGGTGAAAAAATGGGAAATAATGCAAATATCCATCAATGGTACTTGATTAAATTATGCTACATCCACACAATGAAATATTCTACAGGTGATAAAATAATGAAGCAGATTTTTATGGATTGACATGGAAAGATACACTGTTTTTTGTAACAAAAAAAGTTGTAAGTTGTAGAATAACATGTATGGAATGATCCAACTTGTATTAAAAAAAAGTGCGTAACTCTGAAAATGAGTGTATGTGTGCCTTTGTGTATGTTGAATGCTATAATTGTAATCTATAGGAGAAAGTCTATCTGAAAAGATATAAATCAAGCTATTAACACTGGTTACTTTGTGCAATTAGTCTGGGATTTTGTGAAAGCAAACTGAACATATTTTGGTGCTGTCTGAATGTATATTACTTATGTCATTAAAAACAGGGCAAAAAAGTGTAGGAATGCAGCAGACCAAAGAGTAGGCATATTAAAGGACGTAAGCCTGGGACAATTCAGCTGAAGCTTTCGAATTTACTTTTTCTCTCTTAACATCCCCAACAAGCCCGCTGGAATCCCCTGTACTCAATCCCCTGCCTGCAGACCTGCTGTAGTTCTCCTCGGGACCCCTCTCCTCTGCGTCAGCCTCATCTGTCCTGTCATAGGTCAGGAGGTCAGCAGGTACATCGTGAATCTGGACGCTGGGTGCATGGTTTAGCATCTTCAGGTTTTCGAAGATTGTCTGGCGGATCTGGTCTAGATACTGGTTGGGGAAGAGGAACAGACAGTGAGCAGCTCTCAGTGACTCCCAGGGCATCCACTCTTCTAGCTGCCTTTTGCCTCTACTGTCTTAGTTTTAATCCCCTTTTGCATTTTGGTTTGAGTCCCCCAGCTGATAAATGTCCCTCTTCCCAACCCTGACTGCCTCTACTTTAACCTGGGCTGCCTCCTAGCTGATACCAGCGGTAGTGATGGCTGAGAACTTTCTTCTTTACTCTGGTTTCTCTGATTTCCCACATCCTGGATCTCTCTTGGGCTTCCCCACCCTTATGCTCAGCTCCTCCGAGCTGCTGACCTGGCGTGAGTTCTGATTCTCAATGCGGGTGCTGACGTCTGGATGGAGCGTGAAGTCCGGGGCAAAGTACTCAAAGTATTCTTGTGGGGAAAAGGAGATGAAAAGACATTAAAGCTCATACAGAGACAGGCAGGTCCCCAAACCTCCCAACCTCTTTCCTTCTCATCCAAAACTTCTACATAATAGCTGCCCAATCTTTTCCCTGCTCTGGGCCCAAGGGTTTAGTCTGCAGAGCTCTGAGAAAGTCAAATTTCCCACTGCTTTCAAACCACACAATTCTGGGGTCTTGGTGAGGTTGGCTTTCTTGTTGAGGGCATCATGGGGTGGCTCTTACCACTATAGGGAAGCTCCTCACTAATGGCCTCTTCTACCAGCAGTGATGTCTCATAGGTCCTGAAATAAATCAGCAGAGGGGGGCAGGCTGAGCAAGTGGGCTGAAGGGCCCACCTGGCCACCTCTCAGGGAGCCCCTAGCTCACACTGGACAAGGGGGAGGAGGAAAATCAGGGCGTGCTCACCAGCAGCGGGCAACGTTTCGGACAGTGTAGCCACCACCACCTAGCACCAGTAGAGGGATATTGAAGCTCTTGACATACTCGACACATTCCCTGTTAAAAGGATCCAGAGGAATGGGTGGTGGAAGTTACCAAAAGCCAAAGTATGCACTTCTAGATATTGCCTGGAAAGAGGCATCAGGAAACTAGAAATGTTCTATTTCTTCACCTAGGTAGTGAAAATCATTGAGTTACATCCTGGAGATATGTGCACCTTATCTATTGTGTCTTAATAAAAATTTTAAAACAGAGTACACTCCCACCTCTGTCCTGCTCAACACCCACCTGGGCATCCCACCTGTTAATCAACTACTCTCGGCAATGCACCAGCAAGTGCTGTCAGTTTAGCCACCAAAATATTACTCAAATCATCTACTTCCCTCCTTCGCCACCTCCTCCAGCTTAGCTTCCTACCTAGACAACACCAGCAGCTTCCTAACTGGTCTTGCCACTTCCATTCCTGTGCCCCCACCCCGATCCCAAACCGTTCTCTATTGGGCAGTCAAAGCAGCTACTTTAAAACAGGAGCTGGGCCATGTCCCTTCTCTGCTTAAAACCTTTCAGCAGTTTCCCATCACATCTGAAATATAATCCAGACTCCTTACTGGGGTCTAAAGGCTCTGTACAACCCCACCACTGCCAACTTCTCAGACCTCACCTCAATCCACCTCCAGCCTGCTCCCTAAGCTCCTGCCTTGCTGGTTTTCCTCCATCTCCTCCACTACACCCACCAGCCCTTCCCTGTCTCAGAGCCTTTGCGGGGGGCCCTCTCACTGCCTGGGGAAGACTTCTCTCTGCTCCCCCTATGGCTCGCTCCTTTTAGCCCCCAGGTCTCAGCTCAGATTTCAACTCCTCAGAAAATCCTTCCCAAATCGCTCTATCTAAAGTAGGCTCTCCACTGTCATCCTGTCTTAGCTTTCTATCTTTTTTTTTGTAGAATGTATAACAATCTACCTGTTTTGTTTGCTGACTCATTTTTCGCCTGTTTCCTAGACTAAACTGTAAACTCCATGGGAGTTTCCCTACTGCCCCATCTCCTAGCACAATGCCTGGAACACATAGGTACTTAATGAAAACCCACTGTGAATGAATGACTAGCTGGGGAACACTGTGCAAGGTGACATTTCTGGTTCAAAGTACAACTTGTAGCTATTTTTGATTCCCAAGAGGAGGTGAGGCCTTTTCCCCAACTACCCCCCATTCCATGTATTGAGGCCTGAAGCCATTTGAAAACCTGGGGAAGCAGGAGGAGGGCAGGTCTCACCCATGTCCTCGAATGCTGAGGTTGAAGCAGCCCAATCGATCACAGCCCAGAGAGTCAGCGCCACACTGCAAAAGGCAAAACCCCAGGTGGCTGCAGTGAGTTAACTATTGAGAATGTCACAGACGTCCTTCACGTCCCTTCCCCCACCAGCCTACGGACTCTCCTCTTTCCTGCTCTCTTCCCTCAAATCCAGCGCCTGAGGAGGCACTGACAGTATTACCTGGAGCACAATGCACGTGGGTTGGTAGAAGTCCACCACCTGGTTGATAACCGGCTGGAAAAGGTGCTTGTAACCTGGGAGAGGGCCAAAGATGGGCACCTGGCACCCCAAGGGGATGGGGAGACAGGGAACAAAAGGAAAAAGGGGGTTCAGAGAGCGTGTAGCCCAGGGAAGGGGCAACCCAAAGGGGCAATCGTTGGTTCGGAACTTCTGGGTGGGGTTTGGTGAACTTCTGGAGAGAGTGATGGAAGTTAATGACCCTCTGCCCAGAAAAATGCACACGCATACAATACACTGCATAAAATTTCAGGGTGGGGGTTAGGCGGTAGTTCAAGGTCCCTCTGAAGGCCATTCATTCTTAGGGACATCTGGCCCAACAGTTGACAACATCAGGCAGAAGAGGTTAACTCCAGGAGAGAGAGAAGGGGCCTAGTGAGCAGGGAGAAGGCTTCAGTACGTACTCTGGTCATCAATGCCGTCCCGCAGGGGCACATTGAGGCAGTAGTAGCGGCCACTCTCTGCTCCAACTTCATACATGTCACCTGTAGGGGAGTGGGGGGGTGAGGTGGCAGCCATGCACAGGAGGCATCCACAAGCCAGCTTCTTCCACCCTAGCACTCTGTGGGCCTCTCACTCCATCCGTGTATCTCTCCTACACACTCCCTCTAGACACTAGGTCTCCTGCAGCTTGCATTCATTCAACAATTACTTTTGGAGGGCCTACTATGAGCTAAGTTCTGTCCTAGGCACCGGGGACAGAGCAGTCAAAAAAGTTAATGAAATACCACCAAGCTTATACTCTTGAGGGGGGCAGGTATGCATGATAAGGAGGGAGACAGTAAACAAAACAAAACACCAGAATAAAGTCAAACAGTAGTGAGTGCTCTAAGAGAAACCAGCAGAGAGATGTCATAGAGTAACAGGGAAGGTAGGTGACTGCTTTAACTAAGGTGATCCAAGGAGGGGGTCATGAGCTAAGACCTGAAGGCTTGGAAGGAGGCAGTCACGGTAAGAGCAGAGGAGTATGAAGGGGACAGACACTCCTATTCCCATACCTGTGCCAGGGAAGAAGTAGTTTCCGTATTTGTGGAAGGACACCGTCATGACCCGGTCAGTGAGGTAGAAGGCTTCCTGAACCCCGTCACCGTGGTGGATGTCGATATCAATGTAGAGCACCCGAGGGTGGTACCTGGGGAGAAGGCAAACTTAGGATCGGAGGCAGAGGTGAACCGCCGGAGGAAAACCCCGCAACACCCTCCTCCCAAACACAAGGTCGGGAATTATGAAGAATCTGCTTTGGCCCAAGTCATCCGAAACCTAATACCACCAGTTCCCTAAGGGCAACCCTGGGGCTCCAGCCTGGAGGCCGGGACAAGAGAGGGATGTGCAGAGAAGGCTGAAATGTGAGTAGGCAGCAGGGAAACTGCAGCAGAGCACAGGAAAAGGCAGCCGGAGAAAAATAGCAAGAACCTGGGAGAAGTTAGTGTGGGATGGAGGTCAGGGTCAGGGCCAGGGCAGTTTGAGAGACCTCTTCAGCCAAGAATCTCATAAGGGCCCCCATCTCCTCCCGGGCTACTTACTTGAGCAGCTCCAGGATGCCAATCACAATGTCATTGACGTAGCAGAAGCCAGAAGCCTACGGTGAAAAGTGGTCTTACAAAGAGAGGAACAATTTCTCCACCCAGCTGCCCTCCACTGTTATCCTGACCTCCTACCCGGGGGTAGATGTTGTCTCCCCCATCACTTCCTCACTCACCTCAAACTTCTTGGCATGGTGCAGACCACCAGCCCAATTAATGGCAATATCACAGATCTGAAAGACAAACACCCAGCTCACAGTCTTCCTCCTGCCCACCCCCAAACCTGGGAGCTCGGGGTCAGGGCGAAGTCCTTGGGTTCAGGGACCCACAGGAAGGAGGAAGCAGGACTCGGGGCTGTGGTCACCTTGTTGTTCAGCTGGGTTGCTCCTTGCAGAGACGCGCCTGTGTAACGGGAGCAGAACTCAAAGAGCCCGGGAAACACTGGGCTGCAGGGAAGAAGAGCAAGTTGGAGCCCTTCTACCTCTGTCCACTCCCTTCCTACACCTCTCCGCATCCCAAAGCTCTCCAATCTCTTTTCCTCAATGACCCTTTCTCCCCCTCCTACATGCCCAAGTTATCTGCAAATTTATTCAACAAATATTTTGGACCAAACCAGGTTCCAAGCCTCGTGTGAGGCACTGGACGGGAAGTAGAGAAGCCCGGTGATAATCTTCCCTAATTGCACGAAGAGCATTGACTGGGCCCCCGCTGTGGTCTGAGGGCTGACTCTGCATTCCCAGGCCTACCAAGTGAACTTAGAAACAGCAGCAGCAGCAATAACCAAAAAACCAAGAAACCTCCCAAGACAGCATGTGACTGAGCAACCAAATGAGACACTCATAGTTCATGGTGCAGCCTGTGCAGGACAGATCTCCACGGCTGGTGCGGTCAAGAACGGCTTCCCAGCATGAAGCTTCATGGTGGTATGAAGGCTGGGAAAAGCCTTGCACAGGCTGAATGGGGAATAAAGGATATTCCAGGAAGACACCCTGTGTAGCAGGGGTGTGGGGATAAGGTTGGGAAAATGCTCAGTGCCAGACTAAGGAGTTGGCTTCTATCTTCCAGCCCAAGCTGCTTCCATTGGTAGGATCTTTCAAGGAGACAGGTTAGTGTAGTGTTTAAAAACCTAGACTCTGGATTTCAATCCTGCCATTTCCACTGACCAGTTATGTGACTCAGGCTAAGTTACCTAAATCTCCTCAAATTTATGTACTTATGTCTACCTCCAGGAAAAGGACTGAAATCTCAGGGTTAGTCTGAGAATTATGTTGGTGTACCAGTAATCCTCAGTACAGCAGAGTAAATACTCAAAAAACAGTAGTTGTCATAGGAAACTACAGGATCAACAAATAGCCTGGTTTCTTCAAGAAAATAAATTCAAAGGAGAGAAGGACACGTTGCAGATTAAAAGTCTTAAGAGACATGGCAGCCAAATACAATACGTGGTCCTTGTTTAAAGCTTTATTTAAATAAATCAACTGTAAAAAAGAAAAAAAATGTATGAGACAACTGGAGAAATTTAAATACTGACTGCATATTTGATGATAGTAAGGAATTACTGTTAATTTTTGGGGGTGATGCTACTGTGCATTTTTTTGAAGAGTATCACTTGAAGATACATAGTATAGATAAAAAGGTGTGACATCTGAGATATGCTTTAAAATAATCTGTGAGGGGATACAGACAAAGTAAGCTTAGTCATTAGCTCTAAGTATTACAGCTGGGTGATAGACAGATATAAGGGGGTTCACTGTACCATTCTATTTTCAGAAATGTTTGAAATTTCCCTAAAAAAAGTTTAAAAATAAATTGAGTAGATGGTAGTGCTGGTAAACAAGCTGCTGGAAAACAAGCTGCTGGACAACAAGCAGCTAGAAAACAAGCCACACCTAGATTTCCAAGAGCTTAAAATATTATATTCACACTTACTTGCTTAAAATGCACATGCTTGCTTTGTTTTAATGTTTTATGCAGTAGATGACCTATAACACGTATTATGCTAAAGAAAATATGTGAGGAGAAATCCTGAGATTGACCATAAGGGCGTGAAGGAGGGCAGATATTTCCTTAGGGTTACACAATGGACGGTCCTGGTAAGCCAGATCATCCATTAACAGAACTTTGTTCTGGCATGAAAGCCTGTGGTTTAACCCAGGGGAAATCTTTGCTATCTCCAGATGTCCCGGAGGCAGTAACAGGATAGACTTAGAAAATTCGCATACCCTGAGGAAGGTGATTGTTCCCAGAAGGGATAGGCCTGAAATTAATCAGTTAACCAGCAAGCAGAACTTAGTGCTTATTTCATGGAATGTCTAAAGCCCCACTTCTTTGATCGCATTTTTTTCTGAGCTGTATACTCCTAATAAGCATGATGTCAACCAGGTTTTCAGCACTCTAGATCCACAAGATCTTGAGTCCCCTGGTTCCATCTTTGCTCTTTACTTTGTCTCTTTGTTTCTTAAGTCTTGCGTTGCCCGTCTTCAGACACGGTCCCGAGCTGCGCTGGACACAGCATGGTAGGTGTGGTGGTCACTATATTTTCATGGGTGTACACTGGAATGTAAGCAAGGGTCATGGCTTCTCTTTGTGGTCTACGTTCTTCCCCACAGGACCGAACTCTGAGTTTACTTCCTATGACATCAGCTCAACATTAACGTGGTCATGTCTGACAAGTCTCTTGCTTTCTAAAACACTCTGATGACTTCCCTCTACTCTAGAGGTAAAAACCCCAATTCATTACAGGGTTGCTTGCTTTGTAAGCCCTACCTATCTCTTTAGCCTCCATTCAGATCACTCTTCTCTTCAGATTCTACAGTCGGCCTTTTTTCTGTTCCTCAAATGAGTCATATTCTGTCCTTAGCACATGTTGCCCCTACTGCCCACGACATTCCTCCCCTCATCCTCCATCCTCTCAGCTACCTTTCACCTAATTACTTCCTACTTTCTTCAGATCTCAGCTCAATCTTTATTACTTCGTCTAGGAAACCTCCACTGACCGGCCCACTCCCAGGCTACATAATTCTCCCATGTATATGCTCTCATAGTCTGTCATGTACCTCTCCTTCAGAGGACTCAGCACAACTACAATATTAAAATTGTGCTGTTGATGTTTTTCATTGCATCCCCAGCACTTAGCAAAGGTCCTGGCCTAGATTAAGTAACCAATAAATATTTGTTGAATAAAGAAATGAGTAAATGATGATTCATTGACAAGTATCCTCCCCGTTCCTATCTTCCCACTCCTGCCACAAGATCTCACTCAAGTATTCTCATTGAAATGCCTGGCAACAGGTGCCTGACATCAAAGGTCCCAGTCCTCCCCTCACCAGTCATCGCCCACGTTGAAGGCATTGAGGCTCTTGGTGAAGCCTTGCATATTGGTGGGGCTGACTCTCTGCAGGAAGTCGATGTAGTCCTCAGAGTGGAAGCGGCACATGTCATGCTGGGAGGCCTGGTATGGCTTGAAGACCTTGGGATGAAAACACAAGGTGAACCCAGGCAGGGTCAGTCCCACTCCCTGGGCTGAGGTCACTCACACTGAACCCAGCCCTGGGGCTGTCCAAAACCACACACAGTAGTCCCCTTTCCCTCTAATCCTTGTTACTCTATGAGACAAATGTCAGTGAAAAGAGACTCTGATTAGCCTGATGGTTTACTATGATCAAGCCCCCTAAAGACCACTGCGCTTGCCTTTTCCTTTCCACCTCCAGCTCAGCCTTTCCTATCTTCTCAAACCTTAACACTCTTCCACCTGCCATGTTCCCTGGATCTCCTATTCCTGATTCTCTCCATACTCATTTCCCCTGGGCTCTGATGCTATCCTCTCTCTCCTCTGAGTTCTTAATTTTGGAGTCAAATAATGTGGGCCATATGACAGACTTCTAATTAAAACCCAAGATGATCATGTACTAATCCAGAGATTTATTATCTTTTGAGGGGTTCACATACTTCTTTAGAAATTGGACAAGAATCAAATTTTCTACTCCTCCCAGAAAATGCTCATAGGCACACACTGGCAAACATTTTCAAAGGAGTCAGAGATTCATGCACTAACATCACCTCAGTCTTTTCTATAACCAGTTCACCTGTATATGCCTCAGCACAAGCAGATGACACCCATTCATACTGTTGACTAATTCCCCTTGCAATGCATAAGGGCCGAGCAGTATGTTATAATCACATATCACAGCTATAAACTCCAAGCTGGGGACAGATAACATGTGTATATCCCAGAGATGGAGGGATGGGTAGTGACTAAGTAGAACTGTTGGGGGGTATTCTGGGTTGAAAAGGGGAATACCCAGCACATCTCCTACTGTCCTCCACACACATACACATTTACACACAAGACTTCAGAGTCCTCTCTGGAGCTCTAGCTCCTTGGGGGTGGAGAGAAGTGGTGGAGGAGAAGGGGTGGGAATGAGGGTAAACCTCACATCCAATAATACAGCCCCTTGCCCTTCCCTGAGGTCACAGAACTGGCCTATGATGCTGGGAAGGGAAACACTTTCTGTCTTCAAACCAGCCCCACTCACTCTAACCCTAGGCCATGGATTGGTCCACTTGAGGTCAAAGGGTGGCCAACCTAAAGTGGAAAAAATAGCTCCCATTAAGTCAGTGGGTGCACCTACCAACACTCTGCATATGTGGGTGCTCCCGGTTCCTTCTACTCAGCCTCTCCCCCCACCACTCTAGGGGTGGGTCGCTCTTGGTGCCTTCACTGCAGCCTACCCATCTCCAGGGCCGCAGCTCGCCCCCACCCTCAAACCCCAGCAGAAGCCGCGAGACTTACGATCATCTTCTTATAGAGACCGTAGTGCAGGACCAGACTATGGGTCAATGCCAAGCGATGGGGCTTCATAGGGTGCCCAGCCCCTGGGGGGTGGGAGAAGAGAGTTCGTCAGTTCCCATCCCTGGAGTTGAAGCCGCAGCCTCGAAACCTCCATGTCCCGAAACCCCTCGCGTACGACCTTGTCCCCTCACCATAGTGGAAGTTGCCCACGTCGGGGTCGTAAAAATAGGCCACAGTCTTGGCCATGGTGCCAGCGGGACCAGGCCCCGCGCCTCTGCCGCCAGCCTGGCCGCCTGCCCCACCCCCGGTCCTGCGTGCTGCGTAAGCACGCAGCCTGCCGCTGCGGAACCTGGAAGCCCAAGCCCGCCTTCCCTAGACCACGCCCAAACCACGCCTCCCCGCGGAGGTCCGCCCTCGCCTGGCTCCGTTCGCCCTTCTAGGTTCTGGGGCGTGAACGTCTGGGCTTGGGCGGAGGACAGTAGCATCGGCCCTAGGATGCGAGGTCCATTTTCTTCCGGGCGGGGGTCAAAGCCCCGGGAAGCCGAGCCATCCTCTCCAGCCACCTGTCCCAAACGGAGCGCAGGCCGTGGTCATCTCTCTAGAAGGCTCCAGAGAACCGGCCACGCTGACCTTCTCGGGTGCAGAAAGCCCGCTTCCCGGCCCGCTGGGAAGATTCCCGGCTATCCACCCGGTCGGGGAACCGAGGGCAGAAGCCAAGCCAGGCGTGCCCGATAGACCAGTGGAGAGCACTCTCGCCTAACTGCCTGTCCTCCTCACCCGGACCCAGACTCCGCGCCGCACACTCCCCCGGGGGGAGGAGAGGCGGCGCAGTCACGCGCGCACCACACTTGCGCTCACGGGCGCGCAAGGCTCTCGCTCTCCGCCCCGCACACCTGCGCTCCGCCCCCTGGTCCTGGGTTGGAGACAGTCTAAGGCTTTTGGAAACCCAGGGCGTCTGCGGCGGCGCCCCCATCTCCTTCCCTTCCCAGGGCTGGAGTTGTCCAGAGCCTGTCGCCGGCCCATCCAGCCCACATCCCTCTCCATCCTTCCCTCCCCCCGCCTGCCGCGGCACGGGTTATCTGCAGCCGCAGCCCGAGCCCTTGAGGCGGCGAAGGGGGAGGGGAAGGAAGCAAGGGATGAGCACCGGGAGGGCGTCCGGGGCTCTGAGCCTGACTAGGACACCCCTGGAGCCCGAACCCGAGCCAGAGCCGGAGCCGGAGCCAGAACCAAACCACCGGTACCGGGTGGGCCAGGTGGTCAGGATGGGAGGTACCGAAAAGCGGGAGGGGGTGTGTGTGCGAAAGTACAGGCAGGGGAGGGGGCTGCGGAGGCCTGGCTCAGGCCGGCGCACAGGAGGTGCAGACGCTGACTCAGGCACAATCCTTGCGCCGGCCGCCTGAGAATTCCGTCCCATCTCGCTCTGCAGTGTCCTTGGGAGGGCCGGAAGCGCAGGACAAGCTGGAAAGGGGAACGCTCTGGGCATCGGGGAAGCGGGACCAGGGTCGTGGAAGAAGGCTTGCGCATCGGCCGTCTGGCACCCTTGGCCCGGACCAGCACCCCCAGCACGGACAGCTCCTTGGTTGGGTAGGGGGTGGGGCCCGACCTCGGAGTTTTGCCCCTTTCGGATCCTGAGGACCGCATTCCTATCCCTCACCCATCCCTAGCTGCGGCCCCCTAACTCCAGGAGGCGCCCTGGCCCGCGCTCGCCCCCCAGGGCCTCATGTCGGAACCACAGCCTGACCTGGAGCCGCCCCAACATGGGCTTTACATGCTCTTCCTGCTTGTGCTGGTCTTCTTTCTCATGGGCCTTGTAGGCTTCATGATCTGCCACGTGCTCAAGAAGAAGGGATACCGCTGCCGCACGTCTAGAGGCTCCGAGCCTGACGACGCCCAGCTCCAGCCCCGTGAGTGAACAGCTTAAAACCTGGTTCAGTCACCTTTCTCCCTTACTCACTTACCCTTCCTCCGAACACCTCTTCGTGGCCAACAGACCCAGGCCAAATCCCAACCAAGCTTTCAGGAGGCCTAGTGATGCTTTCTTGAGTTAGCAAGGGAAGTGCCACCGCCCTGAAGGCAGGGCTAGAGAAAGCAGCATGGGTGGGAAGGGCCCATTGATAGTAGTCTTGGATTCCCATTGATTTCCCCAACTTTTCGGCCCTGGCCCTTGAAATGCTAATGTACAGCATGATGGCAAGTTGGTAAAGGGGTAGGTCTTGAGCAGTAAGCCACAGAAGCCACCAGGTAATGTACCCCCAAAGCTGACTCATTTCCCACTTCCTTGCCAACCTCTTTCATCCTTCAGCTGAGGACGATGACATGAATGAGGACACAGTAGAGAGGATTGTTCGCTGCATCATCCAAAATGAAGGTGGGTGTAGGCTGGCCCCTGGTTCCCCACCTCCTCAACTTCCTCTTGCCCTGGTCTCCACCTTCACTGACTCCCTCTTTTCCTTCTCCCCTCAGCCAATGCTGAGGCCTTGAAGGAGATGCTGGGGGACAGTGAAGGAGAAGGGACAGTGCAGCTGTCCAGGTGAGCTAGAAACAAGGGCCAGCATGGTTTAGCTTGCCTTGGAGAGTACCCTCTCCTCCAGCACATTCCTGTCCCAGTCTCCTTGCATGTTTGAGGCGAAGGGAGAAGAGTAAGGCTGGCTCATGTACAGGAAGAAGGAAATTTTGTAAAAATCCTGAGTCCTTCAAATCACATCTCTCCTCTGCATATCATCAAGCCTAACATTCACCCCTTGTGCCACTTGTCTGGGTTAAGCATTGCCCTCTTTTTAGCAAACAACCCTGGGAGGGAGAACACATGGTCACTAACATCTCCATATTGACTTTATTAGATAAAGACAAGAAAAGAATGTTGGGGCCTGGGGGAGTTGGGGCATATGGGGGTTTAGGGCACACACTGAAAGAACAGGAGCAAATGGAACAGGAGCAAAAATGGGAATGTCAGCCCTGCTCCCTTCCTCCCTACTGTCCAGCATGGATGCCACCTCCAGCCTGCAAGATGGAGCCCCCTCCCATCATCACACAGTGCACCTGGGCTCCTCAGCCCCTTGTATCCACTGCAGCCGCAACAAGAGACCTCCACTTGTCCGTCAGGGACGTTCCAAAGAAGGAAAGAGTCGCCCTCGGCCTGGGGAGACCACCGTGTTCTCTGTGGGCAGGTGGGGATAGAGTACCCTGGGGAAAGGGAGGTTGAGATGGGGGCCCCAATGATCAGGGTGGGCCTGGCTCTTACTTCCCAGACTGTGAGCCCCAGCAGGAATCAGGCTGCACAATGTGCCCCACAATCTGAGGATGTCTCCCCTGCCCTAGGCTAGAGGGAAGCAGCCATCAAACCCAGGATATCCTTGATCAGAGGGAAGGGCCAAGCAGCCTCTGAGTTGTGATCCTAAGCCCCAGTGTTCCCTCCCCTCCCAGGTTCCGGGTGACACACATTGAGAAGCGCTATGGGCTGCATGAGCATCGTGATGGCTCCCCCACGGACAGAAGCTGGGGGTCTGGTGGGGGGCAGGACCCAGGGGGTGGTCAGGGGTTTGGGGGAGGGCAGCCCAGGACAGGAATACCTGCCGTTGAGAGCCTGCCCCCAGAGAGGCCCCAGCCCCCAGAGAGGCCCCTGCCCCCAGAGAGGCCACAGCCCCCGGCCATCGCCAGCCCCCCAGTGCAGAATGGAGGACTCAGGGACAGCAGCCTAGGCCCTCGTGCACTTGAGGGGAACCCTGGAGCCTCTGCAGAGCCGATGTTGCGGGCTGGAGGGAGGGGCCCAAGCTCAGGGCCAGTCAGTCAAGAGGCAAATGGACAGCCCAGCAAACCGGACATCTCAGATCACCAGGTATGAAGACATGGCCAGGGTTGCGGTGGGCTGAGTTCTTACTGCCCCTACTCTGGGGGGCACTGATATCACTAATATGACCCATTCTCTCATTGTTGACCCCTCCTCTCTCTCAGATGTCTCTACCACAGGGAGCAGGGGGTGTGTGAGGTGAGTCTGCCTGGGCCCCAGGTCAGATAATCTCCTCCTCCCACCCCCCCCAACTTTAAACTACCTAAGCCCATGGGCTCCCTGACCCCCAGGGTAAACTGCAGGCTTAGCCTTTGGTACAGATTCCTTGGTTTGGTGTGTGGGGGGGGGGGTGGGCATGGGCTCCAGGGGCTAGGGAAGGCCTGGGGAAAAGAAGGGACACAACTTGAATAGGAAGCAACACTGTCACCCTTCCTCTCCCCCAAGCCTGCTTCTTCACTGCGCTGATGGACTACCAGCTGGCAGGGCCAAGGGGTGGGTAGGCACGAAGCCCCTCCTCTCCATTGGACAGCACTGCCCCCGAGCTGAGGGACCAGCCCTACTTCCACCTGGAGTTGCATGGTCTCAGGCTGGGGGACCTTGGGAGAAGTCCCCCCACCCCACTCTGGGCCCTTAGTCTCTTCGCCTTCCCCTGCCTGCCAGGAGGCCGCGTGACCTGCCTTCCCTCACTCCATATGCTAGAGCGTGGCGGCTGGGAGCAGGCCCCTGCCCTTGGTGGGCCCTTAAAGCAATAGCACCTTAGATCCCCTGCCCTCTTGGCACAAGAGACCCAGGCCCTGGCTTGGGCTTCGTGCCCTTTATTCACTGTCAATAAATCCGCTCAGACCATTACAACTGCTTGGCATACTGGCTTCAGCTCCTTCTGACAGGCCTGACCCTGTCCCCACCCCCAACCCCAGTGGCTCTGGCATCTGGACTAGGGGTGGTTTACAGAACCAGGGTGGAGACACAGATGAGCCAGAGCCACTCAAGACTCTGGGGGATGAATTCCAGCCCCAGAGATTTCAAGAGATTCCACCTCTCTAGAGATGGGGTGGTAGCAGAAGAGAAAGGAGGGTAGTTTCAGCCCTAGAGATGGCAGGAGGATGATGGGAAAAAAGGAGTGGGTTCCAGCCCCAGAAATGGGGATAGGGGAAATTTCTACCCCTGAAGGTGAGAATGGAAATGGAGGAGATTCCAGCTTTTGGCTGTGTCGCTCCAGATCATTGGGAGGGGGAGGTCTCTGATAGCACGGAGATGGGGGCAGCAGCATCACTGGGGGACAGTGATTCCCCCTGGCTTCAGGTGAGGGGATCTGGGTGGCCAGGATCCGGGGCTTTAGCTGGTGGGGGAGGCGGTGGACGCATCTGTAGGGAACACACAGTCAGTGCTCCAGAGGCCTCCCTTGGGATTATCCCTGTCCATTCCCTCCACCCTGCAGATAAAACAGGACAAGTTGGAATGACCCCTCTCCACACAATCTCCTCCAAGGGAGGGGCCCTTACCGGCCTGAGTCTAGGTGCCATCATGTCCAAGGGTCCAGGGCAGTCCAGGTCTTGATCTGGAAATAAGAATAAGTCAGTCTTCAAACTTTGTTTTGTTCCCTACTGTATCTCCAGCACTTAGGATTCACACCCTGTAAATATGTGCTGACTTAACCAATAGTCACCAACCTGGGCCATAAAATCCATCAATCCATCCAACCTCAACATTTATTGAGCACCTGCTGTATAATCAGCCCTGCTCCAGGTACCAGAGAAGGAGAAGTGGAATTCACAGCACTCCCATCCCTATGGCTGCCAGGAACCCAATAATGAAATACCAGCAAATGCAATGAATGACTGAATGCTGAATCACTCAAAGTGAACTATGGGTGCTGGAGAAGGGGGTGCAGAAAATGCTCATGGGGGTTCCAGGGTCAGACTGTGAAGAGAAGGAAAGCACTAGAAGGTCCGGACATCTCAAGGAGGAAAATGATGATGCAAACCAGATGTTTGCAGGACTTAAGAACACTAAGAGCAGACAATGTGTATTGGGAAAACACTGCGGGAGAGGCTAGCTAATTTTTAAAATAATAATAATGAGGAACCAGCTACTTCTTGCATGCTTGCCATGTGCCCGGCACAATGCTGGGTACTCTATAGACATCTTTTTAACTCTCACAGCTCAGTGAGGGAGGAACCTTTCTCCTCCCTCTGTAAAGGCCCAGACAGGCTAAATCACACACTGGGAAGTCAAAGAGCAGAATTTGAACAGTGGGCTCTGCTCCAACACTCAAGATCTTCTCACCATCATGCTGCAGTGAGCCTGATGGAGTAGGTTCCTGAGGGCAGGCAGAGGGACCAGTGTAACCTAAAAGCCTCAGGCTTCTCTTGTCCTCTCGGGGTCCCCAGTTCTTTCTACTCACCCCTGGGCAGGACAGGTACAGAGGAACCATCCAAGGCAGAGGTGGGTGCAGGAGGGGAGAAGCTGGGAGGAGAAGGGGACGGCAGCATCTGGGAATGAGGGGGCATAGAGTTATTCCTGGCATGTGGGAAGGTTTCACCAGCTTTGCCTTCTGTCACGTCTTCAGTTCCTGTCCCATCACTCCCCAATCCAGAGAGCGGCCAAATGCTTGTATCTGGATGGGGGTTGTAGGTAATATACATTTCAACAGGCAGTATCTCTTGACACTTACTATGTCCCAGGCATTTTGCTAGCACTTCACATGCCTAATTCATTCATTCCTCACCACCACCCCATGAGGTAGGAATTTTGATGATTCCTCTGTCAGAGGTGAGACTCAGATTAAGCCATCTATCCACAATCACAGAGCTAGTTAGTGGCAAAGTCCTGGCTAGAACTCCTGGCTCCTACTCCTGTGCTCTTCTTGCAACAGTAGGTACCATATATCAAAGCACCTCCTCTAGGCCATTGTGCAAAGCGCTTTTCCTCCAGTATCTCTAATCATGACAGCCATCAGAAGGAGGTATTATTATCCCCTTTTCACATGTGAAGAAACAAACTAGAGAGGTCAAATCACTGCCAAGGTAATACAATAGGAAACGGAACTCAGATCCAGCTCTAAAGTAGGACAACCAAACTCTTACGAAGACTGCCTTGATTTCCCTTTTCTCTGCACCAAAGGAGATGGGGAGGCCCAAGCCACTGCAGGAGGCAAACCTGGGGAGGGGTGGGGGTATTAAGATGAATATGGGGCCTCACTGGGGTGGGAGGGACAACCCAGAGCTGCCTGCCCAGGGAGCAGGAAGCCTCACCTGTTCAGGGTCTGAGAGTTCAGATGGGCCTGGGGGGCCGAGCAGCTCCTCCACCAGCAGGGAGGGGAAGACCCCAACATGGCCCCCAAATTCTCCCCTCCAGAAGCCATCATCCACTCCATCCTGGGCCCGGGGCAGCAGGCGGATGAGCGCCCCCTCGGGGAAGCTCAGCTCCTCTGCACTCTGTCCTGTGTAGCTGTACAGGGCACGGGCCAGGAAGGCTGCAGAAGCCCAGGAGAAATGGAGAGGGGAGAAGGTGGGCGGTAGTGCCTCGGGACCATGACACCCCAGGGCCACAACCCCTCAGGAATGCTTCTCCATACCCAGAATTTCCCTCTCTTACCTGTGGGCTCTGTCCCCAAGGGATTGTCGCTGTCATGGCCACTCTCAGGGAAGGAGAAGTCCGGGAAGTTGAGATACCGCTCAGGGACAAAGCCTACCTCACCGTGCTGGTTCCGAGCCTGCTCACCCAGCAACGTGAACAGAAAGCAGGCTTGCCTCAGCAGTCCACGGCCCCGGCCCTCCACTACTCAGTCTTCTCCTTTGCCTGGCTGGGTTTTTAGGGGCCACGGAGAAGTGCCTCCCACTGCCCCCTTGCCAAGGTCAGAGCCCCGGGTCCATACCCACCTTGACCCATTCATCAGCGTCTCCCTCCTCTATGACCTCTAGCCACTCGCCCTCTGTGATGGTCAGCTCGTCCTCACGTCCTGCCTGGGCCCCACAAGGAAGGATTCAGGACTGGCTGTCCCCTATCCCTGCCTGTCTGAGGTTCCCACCCCCATTCACACCTGATAGCCAAACACCACATGCACAGGGCAGGGGAGGGGCCTGGTGGCCAAGGCTTGTGGGGCAGGCTCCTCAAAGAGCTCCCCAGTCTCCTCACATTCCTCAAAGTCAGAGAGCTCAGCATCCTCAGCCTGGAGGGGCAGAGAACAGACATCACTGTGAGGTCCACTCTCAAGCACCCACTGTACCTCCCACTCCTCCATCCTACCCTTAACATTGTGGATCCTCCTTCGAGGTAGTACCACCCATCCTGTTCACCATGTTTCACAGGCAGAATCACCACAGAGCAGGGTACCACTAACAATAATCGCAGAGTTACAGTATTGAGTGCTTACTACCTACCAGGCACAGTGCAAAGTATCTTATGTATGTTGTCTCGTTGAATCTTAATAACCCAGAGTTATTTTGTGTAACTATTAACGTCATTTTACATAAGAGGAAACTGAGGCTCAGAAAGGTTAAGTCACTTTCTAAGATCACACAGCTAGTAAGTGGAGTGGCTGGTACTCAAACTGCTCTGCTAGTCTGCTCTCAGAACCTTAGTTCATCCTATATGCATACTAAAAGTTCATCGAGAATTCTCTATGCTACAAACCATGCAAAGAATTATACTTGAGTGATTTCACTTAAGCCTCGCAACAACCCTTTGACTAAGGTACTATTGTGAATCCCATTTTATAAGGTCCGCTTTCCACTGGGGTGTCTGAACCTCCTGGGCATGCATGGATAGGGAGTGGAGGGAGCTCACCGTGGGAGAGAGGTCCCTCTGGGACAGCCGGGCTTCACTGAGCCGTCGCTCCTGCTCCACCTCGTCCTGGGCCTGGGTCATGGCTGGCTTCAGCCAGTGCTGCACATCCAGGCCAGCCCCCTGCAGCAGGGCCAGCCGGGCAGCCCCCTTCACCTGGCTCACCTGACACGGGGAGGAGGGATCAAACAAGGCGATGGCTGGGCATACATTTGGGAGGTGAATGGAGCCTCCCCAGGTATATCCCCACCATCAGATAAAGGTGTGAAGGAGGTTGTTGCCTGAGGAGGTGGGATCTCAGTGGCCCCAACCCCTAGGGCTGCACCTCACCTGTGCCCGCCGGATGCTCTCCCTCACTTCCTGCAGCCGCTGTTCAATGCCCGGAGCTTCTCGCTCCAGAGCCTGCTGCCGCCTCTGCTCCAGCCGCTGCAGCACCTGGGTAGAGGCGGAGGACAGAGGTGGGTGGAGGTACTATGGGGCACAAGTTAGTAAGGACTGGGTAGGTGGCTAGTTGCTTTACATACATGATGTCATTTAATCTTCCCTGTGAGGTAGGTTCTATTATTAACCCCACTTTTATGAAGAGGAAACTGAGGTTCAGAGAGCTTAAGTCACTCCCTTACTTAGGGTTCCCTAACTAGGAAGCAACAGAGCAGGATTTGAGGCCAGGTAGGTCTAGCTCCAAAGGCTGTACTCTTAATTACTGTGCCCCAGTGTTGTCTTCAAATACCTTTCCCTCCCCTCCTGCCTGCAGCCCTGTGGCATCCCCAGTGACTCCAGGATCCCCGTCTCTCAGCTCTTCTTGCCCACCCACGACACCGGCACCCCCCACCTCACCCGATGCCCGTGGTTCTGGATCTTGTAGTCTCGGGCAGCGCGGCTCGTCCAGCGCTGAACTTCTTTCTCCAGGCCACTCTCCCCAGCCACGCCACCTGCGCCTCCCTCCAGCTCCAGGACACACACCTGAGCGAATGGGGAGCTGGGCAGAGGACCTGATGCTGCTCTTTCCCTGCTCCCCTCCCCTCCAGTTCCCTCCTTATTTTCTTCTCTGTGTCCTCACCTCCAGAGTCAGGGACAAATAGGTGGGGACACAGACCTATGTCCATGGACACAGATGTGCATTCGTGTGACCACACAGACACAGAGAGTCCCAGAAATGGGACCCAGGTTGAGGGACACAGAAAGAATGAAGAAGATTGTGCAGTGAAGGGACAGAAAGGTGGAGTGAAGTATGTTAATCTATGTCCTGATGGGAGGGAGGTGAACTGGGGATCTGAACCCCTCTCTCCATGGTTTATTAGTCTCTAAGTTAATACCAGGACAAGGATAATGGGGGAGAGGCCAAAACCACAGTCCCCTTTACAACTGGCCTGGTTCCACTGAGCAAAGAGGTCTCACCTGATCATTCCCTGCTGGCTGAAACTGCTGAGGTGGGGTGGGGGAAAATACTCCGGGCTCCTGAAGAAAGAGCTCCAGATCCTGCTCCCAGCTTACCTGAGGATTGGAAAAAAATCAAAGTCAGCCACTCACTGGTTCCTTCTCCAAGTCTGTCCCCAGCCCTTCCTGGAAGAAAGATGACAAGGTGAGAAGAAAAAGGTCAGACATGCAGTGGGGTGGGCTGTACTGGGAGGGAAGGGAAAAGAGGGTCTCTGAGGAGCTCTGACAGGACACAGCCCTCACCTGGGAGGTTGCCTGCCCCCCGCGGCGCGCATGCTCCAGGGCCATCTCTGCAGCTTCCAGCTCAGTGCGGCTCAGTGAGGTCAGAGGATCCCTCAAGTGCTCCAACAGCTCACTGACCAGGGCCTGGAAAGAACCCAAGATGCTGACACCACCCTTCCCCCAAGCAGGCTCTCCGTCCAGGTTTGGATGAGTGATGTGCATGAAGTACAGGAAATCGGGAAGAAATAAGATATTATTGCTTCTAATAATAGGCCCTCATGTGTGCTAGGCACTTAACAGTTTCAAAAGCATTTTCACATCCATTCTCTCCCTTGAGCCCCATTAGCCTTATGAAACAGGCAGAGCAGGGGTTATTCCTGATGAGGAAACGAGTTCAGAGGGGTTAAGTGTTTTGCACAATGTCATGCAGCCAGCTAGAAGCAGAAGCAGAACCAAGGTATGTCTCTTCTACCCATTCTAAGCAGGCTAGGTCCCTCGCCCCACCCAGCCCAATGGTGATGCGAAGCAGGAGAGGCCCTCCTCAATGAGAGGCAAGGGTATCTGGGTTGGGACTGGCCTTGAGCAGGGCTGGCAGTTCTTCCTGGTAGTAGTGGTCCAGGTGGGCATTGGTGGCCACCAAGTTGAGCAGGTACTCATTTCGGGCTGCTCTCAGCTGCTGGGAGTACTGGGCCGACTGAGCAGACAGCTAGGAGGGGAACAGAGGTGTCAACTGGGAGCCCTGGACCCTTGGGGTCTTCCCAAGGCCAACCCAGATGCAGAATGGATCCTCACATTATTGAGATGCCCGGCACTACACTACAAATTTTACAAACAACAACTACTCAAATCCTCTAGTGGCATCTGCATATATTTAGAATAAAATCCCAACTGCTCCTTACCGTGGTCCACCAGGTCCAGCAGGAGCTGTCCCCTGGCCCCTCTCTGACTCTTCCCACAGTGTTCCAGCCATGCTGGCCTTCTCTCTGTGCCTCGAGCCTACAAAATTACTCCCACCTCAGAGCCTTAGCACTCACCATTGCCTCTCCCTGGAATGTTCTTCCCCTAGATCTTTGCATGGCTGGCTCCTTCTTGACACTCATGCCACCTGTTCAGAGAGGCTTTCCCTCTAAATTACACTCCCCTGTTACCCTTTATCATAACACCTTCTTCTCTTCTCATTTTATCTGATTCTTTTTTTGCTTATTTACTGCCTCCCCTAAGGAGGCTGTGAGAGCAGGAACTCTACTGGCAGTGTTCCCCCACTGTATTCTCAGTGTTTTGAACAATGCCAAGTACACAGAAGTCCTCAATAAATGCATGTTAAAGGAATGAAAAAGAAAAGTACTATTTCCATTTTTTAGATGAAGAAAATGAGGCTCCAGAGAGATCAAGTTTACCAAGATCACATACCATGGATGTAGGGAAGCCTGGATCCATCCCAGTCTCTCAGACATAACCCCAGACTTTCAAACCACAAGACTACCCTGCCCACCTCCCCCCTGCCCCCACCCATGCCCGCATCCTCTGAACCTTGGTGCTGAGTTTCTGGAGACTGGTCCGAGTGTGAAAGAGGCCATGGTCACTTCGGTTCAGCCTGTGCAGGCAAGGGAGAGGAGCGGAGGTCAGGCCCAGCCATGATGCCTTGGCTGCACACCCTCCAGCCTCTCCCCACCTCCTGCTTCCTAACTACCCATGATGCCACCTGGCCTGGACATCAGCCGCCTTCTCCTGTGCCAAGGTCCACACGCGTTCCCGCTGCCCATACAGCTTCCGACTTCGGCTTAGCTCCCGGACAGACTGCAGCACCTCAGCCTGAGCCCTCTGGAGGTTCTCTGCTCCCTAGGGGCATGGACACACAAAGTCCTGATCCAGACCACCTCCAGCCCCGAGCCAGCCCTTCCTTTACACCATCCATTGAGCCATACCTTCCTAAGCACCTGCTCCTTGGCACTCCGCCCCGTGCCCCCTGCCAGGTCCCGGTAGCGGTCAGACGCCTGGAGCCGGGCTTGGCCCCCAGCCATGGTGGCATCCAGCAGGCATCTCCAGGCACCAAACACCATCCTGCCTCTCCCCAGAGAGGGTCTGTGTTGAGGAGGGGAGCACTCCAAAGCTTCATGAGACAACCCCCCCCAACACCATGGGAGGCAGACTGCTTTCCCATCCCCCTCGTCTGGGAGCCCGTCAATCGATCAGCCCATTAACTCAGCCACAAGGATCACTCATGCCCTCCACCCCCACCCACAGTGTCCTTGCTGGGTCAGCTGCTCTCCGGCTGCTGTGTCAGCTTTACCTGCAGCTCACGTGCCCTTCCCTCTTCATGTGCCCTCCCCAGAGGTTCCTGGGGTTGAGCTCCTCATCCCTTCTTGGCCTCCTGGTCTCACCCCTACCCCTGACAATGGGACCCACCTACTGTCCATTTCCCCGCTCCGGTGTCCTTCCCTCTTCAGGAATGGCCCAGCCAGTTTTTGGAGTGCCTGGTGGGAAAGTCATCACAGACCCAGTTCCCTTTGAAAGACTCCCCCAATTGGGAGACTACAGGATCAGAGTATAGTAATGACATTCACTGGACCCATATTATATGCCACTCACTTTACTAAGTGCTTCACATGCATTAACTTATTCCACCCTTACAACAACCCCGCATGAAGGAACAATTATTATTATTCCCATTTCACAGAGAAAGAAATTGAGGCCAAGAAAGTAACTTGTCCAAGGTCACACAGCTGCTAAGTAGCACAGCAGGGATTTGACACAAATCGGCCTAACTCTAGGCATTTGTTCTTGACCAGATCAGGGGTATGTGTGGAAGCACACTGCTGCTTGTGTAAAGGAGGAGACAACAAAAGGGAAGGTCCAGAGGGAGGAGTCCCATACCTGCCCATACTCCCGCTCAATGGCTGCCCTCTGCTTGCTGTAGGATCTGTGGAGATTAAGTGGGTGGGGAGTTGTTACTGTTTGGTCCTCTTCTCCCTACCTAGATCCTCTCCTCAGCCTGGGCAGAAGGGAGAGGGGAGCCAGGCCTAGAGTGTGACTACACCAGGAGGGACTGAGACTGAAGAGAGAAAGTCCTTGAGATCACCTCGGGAAGCCGCAGCACAGGACAACCTCACCTCATTGCTCAGAGCCTCAGCAGGATCCTCCCCACCCCTGGAGAACCATCTGTGGGCTTGGAGGTGAGAAATGATGGAAGCCTGGGTACAGGGTCCGTCAGGCTTCCAACAGGTCTGGAAGAGGGAGGGGGATTCTGCCCTAAGCTTGATTGTAGGGGTGGAGGAAGTGGTGTGGAATCAAGGGGTTTGAGGGAAGGTCCCTGTGTGTTGGGGTGAGCGGAAGGATAATTCCTATCCGGTATCTGGAGAGGGAGGCCTAGGGTGAAGGCTTTGAATGGGCAGGTTGTTGAGCTCTTCACCCCCGCCAGCTCCGACAGCTGTAGTATGTGGAGGAGAGGCGGAGCGTGAGACAAGATAAAGTGGGAGTACGTGGAGGGGGTCAGGGGCTACCTGATATCCTCCAGCAGATCTGCCTCCCTCTGCTGCCGGGTCTGAAGAATGCTCAGCTGCTCCAGGAAGCGAAGCTTCACCTCCTGGGCCGGCTTCACCTGTGGGGGTACGAGGAGAATGAAGACCTCTGGAGCTGGGACCTGAAAAACACTCCACGCAGGGAGCGGTGAAGGGGCGGGGCTAGCGAGGAGCTGGGCTGTTTCCTCGGTTACTTCTGGGTTGGCCCTTGACCTCTTCCCACTCCTCGTCCACCACCGCTGGTCTGGAATCCCCTTGGTCCCCACCACTCCCCCTGCCCGCCAGGAGTCCCTGTTCCCAGCCCAAGCTCACTTTTCGGGGCGGCGGCTGCATCTCCGCTCCGGCCCAGACAGCGACTCGACTCCGGAACTCGGGGAGGCCCCGCCCACATTTAAGCCCCGCCCCGGAGCTGGCCCGACCCCGCCCTCGCCCCGCCCACGGCTACTAGCTGGGCGGCGAAGCGCGAGGGGGACTCAGAGGAACTAAACCTGTTATTGTTGCGAATACCCCGGAAAGGGTCCACGCCGCCGAGTAGACGCCGCGTCCGCTGGGCGGTAGGGGGAACCTCAGGTTTCTGTGTCAAGACGCCTGGGTTCTATTTCTAGGGGAGCTGCTGACTCAGCCCGTAATTATTTCTAATCATTTATTTACATATGCAGATCTCCAGTTCTGGCGCGATGGGTGAAGGACGGCGAGGAACTCAGTCTGTGACCAGGGAAACTGAATCACTGGATGCCTGAGCGAAGATGCATCTGATGAGGGAAACAGGGCTGGTCCCAGACCTTTTCCCAATTCCCACAGAACTGGAAAAGCCAGAGTGAGCGAGGGTGAGAAAGACGCCTGGAGCCAGGAAGGAGCCAGTGCCAGAGGACAACACAGGTACACACCAGGCAAATGGAAAGAAACCAGCGAGTAAGTGTGAGCTGGGAGACGAGAGTAGGCGGCTGCAACCCACAAAGACTCGATCACATCTGGGGTCTGCCCTTAACGTTCTGCACCCCAGGACTTGCACTGCTTTCTGACGATATGCACACCCTTTCCTCTTCCTCCTCACCCATCTGTGGCCCACATCTCCTCATCACACCCCTGACTTGGAAGAAGCAGTTATCTGTGGCGCCAAATTCTAGATTCACATTTCCAACAGCTCCCTGACAACTACACTTATTTAAGTAAGTACCTCAAACTATTTTTTTTGTTTGTTTTTTGTTTTAAATGGAGGTACTGGGGATTGAACCCAGGACCTACTACTGAGCTTTCCCCCTTCCCCCTGTATCTCAAACTTCTAAAATGGCTCCTTCAGTCTGATCCTTCCCTGGTCACCTCCCCCAGGTAATATACTAAATGACACCACTCTATCCAGGTAAGAAAGTCAGAAACCCAGAGTCAGTGTGCCCTTCCTCCTGCCCCCACATTCCATCCATCAACAGATCCTATAAGTTCTACTTCTAAAAAAGATCTCCTACTGATCATCTTCTCTCAACTTCCAGAACCATCAGCCTGACCCAAACTCCCTTTATCAGTCTCCTCGTCTGATATCTGGTCTTCTTGCTTCCAGTCTTCCCTGTATAACCCATGGTGCACAAAACAGCCAGAGTGATCAACCTTTTTTAAAAAAGGAAATAAGATCTCATCACTCTCTTCCTTAAAGCTCAATACTTCAGAATAAAATCACGGCACACAAGGCTATGCGTGATGGGGCCCCTGCCGATCTTTCCCCCTTCAGCCCAACTCTTCTCCCCTGCTCCCTGCTCACTGTGCTCCAGCCACTCCAGCCTCCTTGCTCTTCCCCTAAAAGGCCAAGTCTCTTCCCAATGCCTTCATGCCTACTGCTTTCCCTTTCCTTCTGTAGTGTTCCTTCTCCCAGCCCTCCACCTGCTTGGCTTCTTACCCTTACATTTCATCTCTTCACAGAGGCCTTCTCCCTCTACAAGCACATCACTTTGGTTTTGTTTCTTCACAGCACTGATTTTCTTTGTGTAATTTCTGTTCCTCCTCTACAATGGAAACTCCATTGTAGCAAGGACCTCATCTCTTTTGTTCAACACTATATCCCCAATACTTGTCACCAGTTAGGTGTCCAGTATATAATTGTTGAATGATTGATTGAATGAATGAATAAGAAGAATGGCGAGCTTTTGGTCCCAAAATTTATTAACAGTGACCCATCTTTTTTGGCTCCTCTTTGCCCCAGTTCACAACCCCCTTTAATCTCCTCACTCAGGGGCTTCACTGTAGTCCCTGAATGTTGAAGGTGGGGTACGATAAACTTGGAGATCATTCAGATATCTGGCTTCCAAATCGTTCATTAATGCAGTCAAACCATTCTTTTTAAACCCCAAATCTCTCTCAGAACCCCTACATATCAAATGTATAAAGCAGGAGTTGCCCTTATTGTGGGAAACCATGTGGGGCTTACAGTGCTGAAACAGCTTGATGTTCACTTCTCTCCTTGTTCGGTTACTTCATGGTACAGATAAGTCAGCAGTGGCCCAGAAAGACGCCATGACCTGGCTGTCTTTGAGCAGGACACAGCCTCCGGAGCCGTTAGTCCTTCCACAGCCCCACACTGGATTCTAGAGTCTTTCCAGCCAGGGCAGAGGATGCTCCCAGCAGTGCCTGCCATGGAGAGAGCTTGGGTCTTTGGTTACCTACCCCCTCGGACTGTTGGTCCCAGAGTCATGTGAGGGGCTGGCTGCGGGGTGGACTGGAAGCACAGGGAGCTTGGGTGGGGAAGCCGGCGTCTGTGTTGGAAGGCTGCTGGGGCTCAAAGGTTGGGGGCTGGAGGCCTGAGAGGGGCTGCCCAGGCCTACGGTGGTCTCTCCCTTCCTCAGAATGAGGTTGCTGAGCTCCTGGAGCAGCTGTTCCTCCAGGGACCCACGTGCCTGGAGGTTCTTTGAAGGGGGGCCTGGAGGGGGCTCAGGCGGTCTCTCCTCCCAGCCCAGGGGGCCTGCCTTGGTCAGAAGGGGTTGGTCAAAGGCCCTCTGGTTGGTGAGGGGGGTCTCTGGCTTGGCTGTCTGCTCCCTGGTGGTGGAAAAGGAGGTGGAAGTGTCCTCAGTCAACTCAGGGAAGGCCCCCACTTCCTCGTACACTGGCTCCTCATACACAGGCTCCTCTAGTTCCTCTTGCTCCTCCACAGACTCCTGGGATGACTTCATTGGCTGGATGGGAACGGGGTAGCAGGAGGCAGGCAGAGTCAGAGTTACTAGGTTATTAATCGCTAACATATTTTGAGCTCTTCCTCTTGACCAGATGCTGCAAAATACTTGGCACATATGATGTCAAAAACAACTCTGAATGATGGTTACACTGCCGGGGAGTGAGCTGAGGTACAGGGGGTGAAGTAAGTTGCCCAAGATCATACAGTAAGTAAATGGCAGAGCTGGGGCTTGAACCCAGGTCTGTCTGCCTCTAAAATGCATTCACTTAACCACTTCCTTTCTATTTCTCAGATCCTGTGGCCACTTCCCCCTTTCCTCACCACATCTTACTATCCCTTGTTTTCCTCATTCCTTCTGGTCCCAACACATGCACACACACTCACTGAAGGCCTGCATCAGGACAAATGCAGAGAGCGCAACGGCTCAGGTGGCACAGAGGGACACAGGGTTGACAGGCACACAGCTGGGACAGGCACAGTACTCACAAAGAACATGGACAGGGTCCTCCGGTTGTGAAGTCGCCGCTGGGCACAGGTAGGGTGGGGATGCAGGGAGGGAGAGACAAAGAGACACAGAGACACAGTGAGGCCTGGCAACAAGAGGTAAGGGTGGAGCGTGGGGGCACAGAGAAGGCAGAGGGGGGCACCAGGCTGGCAGGCATGACACTCCCTCCTGCGCTGTGGCCAGGGCATGGGCAGGGATCTGGAGGGGGTCAGAGCAGGCCAGGGGGACCTCACCAGGGTCTGGTTAGCAGAAAGCAGGGTGGCCCCACTGTCATCCCCACGGATGGGCAGCAAAGGCATGGTGCCAAACTTCTGACGGGCGAGGTCAGAGGAGGAACGGCGTCGTAATACCACTGGCTGCTGGTCATCGTGCTGGAGAGAGGGTGAGGGGTTGGTGCTGGTGGGCATGGGAGGTACTGAGGGGTAGAGCCGGGCCCACAGACTTTGCCCTCAGCTCTCTTCTTCCCTCACCTGGGCCTTGAGGATGCTGGTGGTCCAGTCCCACATCTCATCCTCGTCAGTGCAGGACAGGTAGCTGGGGGTGATCAGAGGGGAATCAGGAGAGGAGGGTGTCACAACTAGAGGGATGGAGGATAGAAAAAGCGAGGAGGTAGAAGACAGGGAACCTAGCTGGGCCAGAGGAGAAACCAGGCAGAGAGATACTCACAGGTGCATCTTCTCCAGGATCAGCGTGAAGCCCCACCTGGGAGGCAGACAACAGTGATGGGTGGATCAGAAAGGCAGAGGGGTGACCGCAGGAAGGGTCTAGGAGTGTGGACTGGGGAAGAAAACTCACGGGGTGGGAGGCTTGAACTTCTTCCGGATTCCCAAGTAGACCTTGGCACCTTCCAAAGGCCACTCCCGTTCTGGTTTAGAGCTCTGAGAACATGAAGGCAGTTAGTGAGGTTGAGAGGTGAGAAAGAAGGATCATGGTTAAGGAGGTCCAGAAGCCACAGAAGGACTGGGGTTGTGTGAGGTCAAAGGGTCACAGAGGACAAAGGGCCGGGGAGCAATGAGATTGATGAGAACGTGGGCTGTGGAGTGAGAGGGTCAGTGCAGTCCTGGCTCCTCCCACGCAGCCTCCCGGCGCTCCCCACTCCCTTGACCCCGCCCTCGCCCCGCCCACCTTCTTCTCCTTGAGCAGCAGCAGGCAGCGGCCACGCAGCAGAAAAAACCTCTCTTGGAAGCGGTTTCCCAGCAAGCGAGGCGGCTCCTCCCTACACCGCAACAGCCCCACCCGCGGGCTCTCACGCCGGATGCCTGGACACAGATGGGCAGTGCTAGGTGGAGGGTCCCGGGGAGAGGCCTGGGGGGTGCTGGGCTGAAGAAGGAGGCTCACCTGTGAAGAGGCAGCCGGCCTGGGCCAGAGAGACTTTTCTCAAGAGTAAGGAGGCTGAGCAGGGCTCTGGGAGCTGGCACCATTGTAGGGCTTGCTCTAGGACCCTTTCCTTGGGGTGCAGTGGCCGCTCTAAGGGGGCAAAGTCGGGGTGAGTATCATCAACCAGATAGTCATCCCCAGCCTGGAGCCCCCACTCCTCACCCACCAGTTATTCATTCATCCATCCCACCATCCAGCCATAGACATTCATTTAACACTGACTATGCCAGGCACTGGCTGCCCCAGAGATATAGCATTGAGCCTGAAACACACATCCTGCCTTCACGAAGCCCACAGCTTTGTGAGAGGGCAAAGTAAACGAGGTAATTACAGACAAACCATGATTTTGAAAGAAGCAATAAGAAGCTGAGAGAGAGTAACAGGGCAGCTACTTAAA